ATTTCTAACTTACATGCTTCGTGCGTTGTGTGATGATAAAACATGGTCAATTATTAAAGTGTAAAAAGTCCAAATTGATTGTGTCAGGAAGCACGTCTGCACGCCTCAGTAACGGACAACACAATGAGCAATATTTAATAAACAATAATAGTTTATGACAAATAGAGGTTGATTATGGGACCCCTATTATTTTGTCATTTATTGCTGTCAGGTTCTCTGTGTCCTTTTGAAGGTTGATCGTTTGATTGTGTTTTTTAATTAAAAACATCTCGGCGATTTCTCTCTTTTTGACATGTTTTTTTAATGTAAAATTTTTGTATCAGACCAATTAAACTCATGATTTAATTCAAGCCGGTGTTTGCTTATTACTGAATAATTGCTGGCGTGCTTCTTTATGTCAGATTTATGTTGCTTAATCCGAGTTTCGAGATGTCTTTTCATTTGTCCTATATACGTCGCGTCGCAGTCTGAACAGTCGATTTTATAAACTAATTCTATCTGTTTCATATCATCCAGTCTGTCCTTTCCCCTTCTAATATTAATCAATCGTTTATTCCTTTAGCAAAAAGCCAAGAAGGGATTAGGTTTACAATAGAACCTCAACTCCATTCACACTCACATTCATACCCATTCCGCACACTTTTAATATGTTCTTATTTCCGTTTCTTTATATTACATTTTTTCTCCCCCTACAATTTCGTCAATACGTCGCCTTTCATTCTCTCCAATACATCATTACACAATCTGTTTACAATTTCATTATTATTATTCCCTAACCATATGAACCAGTTTTTGGTGTAACCACAGTCTTGGACATAGTGCCTAAGGTATCTTTGCCTTAGCCTCAGAACACACACATCAATTTCTTATCCTCCAACCAATACTTATTACCTTCCTCCATATTTCCACATCTCAATCTTATTAACGCTCTTACATTATCTCCCGCATTTAACTTAACTAAGTTTTCCATTTTCAAATACCTGGGTCCATCCATACTCATATAGAGGTCCTTATACCTTTCATTATATTTAGTTTCCACTATTCTATTCTCCTCTATTTGTCGTTGGACCTCCCAAACCCTGTGCACCAATTCCGTCTTTATATCACCCCCCGCTGCCCTAATGCCCTCTATAGCTTGCACTCCCCAGCCATTCCTATTATAATATAGTTCCTTCTTTTTACTATACATATCCCCTCAGTTATTCTTATCCTTATCCATCCAACATTTCTTTACCCATCTATCTTCTTTTTCTGCCCTTGCTTTTTCTTCAAACTTCATTGCTCTTATCCCCCATCCGATCCTCAACTTTTTAAGTCTTAATTCCTTCGACATCAAATATCTCGGTGTGCAGAAATCCAATTTATAAACCTACCTTACGTAATCTAGCATAATCTTTTCTAACTCTTTCTTTTCCGCTCAGCCTCAAATCTCCACACCATACGACAACACATTTTGTACTAAGTATTTAAATAACATCCGTCTCCTATAAAAATCGTTTTTACAGATCCTTTCCGCTAATCCCCAGACTCTATTGGCTGCCATCCTTCCTTTACAACTCAGCTCTTTTATATGATTCTTATAATTTCCTTTATTATTAAATACAAAACCCAGGTTTTTGAATGTCTGGACCTCTTCTAATTCTTTATCATCTTATTTGCATCTTTCCTTTTTCTCTTTGTTTCTTTTATTAAAAACCATAACTTTAGTCTTATCCGCACATAATGATAATTTTTTTTTCTTTAACAATCTTCTTAACGTGTCTATCATGTCCTTTAACGCAACCATATTTTTCGCCACAAACACCATGTCGTCGGCATATTCCAGCGACCATATCCTATCATTAAGTAACGGCACTCTCCCCCAATGTTCCTATTTTTTAACGCTTTTCCTGTAGTACCTATATTAACTTCCTTTTCTCCTTTATTATTTTCTCTTTTACCTCCCAATCGTACAGCTCCACAATTACCACCTCCTTTCCTTCTCTACCTACAACCTGTACATTTTTCACTTTTTCCCTGAAATCTAACTCTTTGTTGAGGAATTCACCTGCTGCATCCTTAATACTTTTTTTCTTCTTATTCACCTTCTTCAGTAAATTCAATTTCAATTTTCTTACTTCCTCCATTGTCCCCTCTATGATCTTCTCTCCTTGTAACTTCCTACCACCATCCTTTTTCTTCAGCAAATTGATTGCTCTCTCCGCCACCTCTTCAGCTAAATTTTCGTTTTTCGAGTTTTCACCGTCTTTTTGTCGCTTCAAATCTACTAAAATAATGGAAAAGTTTTTTCCGCCAGTGGGTATAAAATAGAATCACAAATTTCAGTTGATTATAACTGGCATATTTATTCGTAAAAAATCACAACGTTTCGGTCCAGATTTGGACCCTCTTCAGGTGAACTCTTACACAAGCATTCAACAGGCAATTCGTGACAATGTTCCCGCAAATCAGAAACCGAAGACTACTCAGAAAAAGAATTTTATTTTTTTGTATCACGATCGCTTAAATATTATAAATAACAAAGAAACTAAAAAGGGTAAAGATAGACTCGATTACATGAAACAAATTGAATTGGTTTACAAAATTGACTGCCTTGACTGCAATGCTACTTATATAGGACAAACGAAAAGACACCTCGAAACTCGAATTAAAGAACATAAAATTGATATTAGGAAGCACGTCAGTAATTATTCTGTAGTAAGCAAACATCGGATTGAATTTAATCATGAGTTTGATTGGGCGGGAACGATAATACTACATAGAGAGAAAAACGTTAAGAAACGAGAGATTGCGGAGATGTTTTTCATCAAAAAACACACACCGGCAATAAACCTACAGAAGGACACCGATAACTTAACAACAATTTATGAAAATAGCTAAATTTATGACAAAATAATAGGCATGTAACCTTTACGTGGTTTAAATAATTTATGTTCTTACGCATTGTTCTCCGCAGTCGCGATATATTTACGTGCTTCCTAACACGCTCCATATACACATTTAATTTTATACTAATTTGACGTCTTATTAATTTATTTCTTTTTTACTTTACTAACACTTACATCGTTATATTTTGCTGACAACGCACTAAGCATGTAAGTCGCTTTTGCTCTTCACTTTTTTAGTTCTTTTGTTATTTATAATATTTAAGCGATCGTGATACAAGAAAACGAAATTCTTTTTCTTCGGTTTCTGACTTGCGGGAACATTGTCACGAATTGCCTGTCGAATGCTTGTGTAAGAGTTCACCTGAAGAGGGTCCGAATCTGGACCGAAACGTTGTGATTTTTTACGAATAAATATGCCAGTTATAATAAACTGAAATTTGTGATTCTATTCAAATCTTCTACTCTTTTTTCCATTTTATCCAGCCTACTTTCTAGCCTTTTCTCCCTTCTACTTTTCTTCCAGCCTATACATTTTAGCTTTAACTTCACTCATTTCCTTTCTCGTTATTAATGCACCTTGCTATTAATGCACCTTTCTCTTCTCTCTTCGCCTCTCTTTTCTTCCCCTCAGCCTCCAACCTCTTCACTTCTGGTGGAGTTCTGCTTGCTCTGTTGCCCCTCTTGAAAATATTCTCCGCTTCTCTCTCACATCTCTTTCTTTTCGCAATTTTATTTCATCTTCCTAATTAGTCCATTGTAAGCATTCCATAATGCTCGTTAAATTTGATCTTTCTCTCCTCGCCTCTTCCATGACTCTCTTTTCCTCTGCCTTTTTCCCCTCCCGCAGTTTTGAGTGTGCTGTATCGCGCACTTCCCTCTCCTAAACTCTGTCACTATATTCAGCCATCTTTCTCTTTGCCTCCGGTAATTGTACCTTCGCCGATTGCCTTGCGCCATCTGCCTTTTTTCTAGGAGTACCTTCAGGCGGTGTTACACGATGCTAAGAAAAAGAAAAGCAAATTCCCTATATTATCTCTAGCCTATCCTTTCCCCTCTCTGACCTAACCTTGAACTTCGACGTACTTTTATCACGTTAATTAGACCTCTCTTTCGATAGTTTCTTATTTCCCTTCAATCTTACCGTTTCCTCTGCAATTTATCTCCCCTCTCGCTTTTTACTTATCGCCAAAATAAACCTGAACGCAGCTAATCGCAATACGCAATATCGCAATCGCCTACCGCATCCACTCACACACACATCCGCTAACCAAGTCCCTTTCTTCTTCTAATAACTTTATTGAGTTTCTTAGGCACAGTATAAACGACATCAAAGCCAAGGTTGTTTAAAACATTACGGATACTTTTGCTGTAATTTTTTATGAGAACTGTTCAGACTGCGACGCGACGTATATAAGACAAACAAAAAGACATCTTGAAACTCGAATTAAGGAACATAAGTTTGACATAAGAAAGCACGCCAGCAATCATTCAGTAATAAGCAAACACTGGCTTGAATTAAATCATGAGTTTAATTGGTCTGATACAAAAATTTTACATAAAGAAAAACATGTCAAAAAGAGAAATTGCCGAGATATTTTTAATTAAAAAACACAATCAAATGATCAACCTTTAAAAGGACACAGAGAACCTGACAGCAATATATGACAAAATAATAGGGAAGTCTTTAGATCTGACTTGCAGGCACATTGTCGTGACTAACGAATGTCTTCGTAAGAATATATATACACTTGAAAAGGACTCGAATTAGAGTCGAAACGTCGTGCTGACTTATTAATAAAATTTGCCAGTTGTAGTCAAAGAAGTCTTATTACTATATGATAAAAAAGGCAAAATTGTACAACATATGGAAATCTTTATTGGGGATACCTTACGTTAGTAGTGAATATATCGGCTCTTCATGGTGTTCTTTTTTTTTCATTTCCACCAGTGTATTTTATTACTTTATGTATTATCATGTGATAGATATAAAACAATGGCAAGGCAGCAGGAGAAAATATTAAGAATAAGGATGTTAAGAATACGGATATTCGATTATATTTAAAAAATGCTATAGAAATTTAATAATACATATTTGATATAACTTATTTGCAGCCGAATACGAGGTTGGCACACCAGAGCCAAGCACACCGTGCTCTTTCATAATACATGTAGAAACTAAACGTAACGGAAACATACTGTCTCCTACTTATCCTGGTACTTATCCGAAAGATCTTATTTGTACCTATCAATTTGTCGGGCGGCGTGGACAACGTGTGCGGTTGGAATTTCGTGACTTTGATTTGTTCTTTGGGGGGCCACAGTACGTACTTGCAAGGCCAAAATTTTTTCAAATATGTAAAATTTTTATACAGAATTTCTAATAATTAACAGCCAAAGTAAAAGAAATTAATTCCTGTAGATCATCCATTTTTTAAATAAAAGTATATCTTAGATTTTTAAATCTATTTGCATTAGGTATCTATAGCGATATGACATAATTTAATTCAAGTTAACAAGAAAATTATTCCATAGTTGTCCGCTAGATTACGTGAAAGTGTACGATGGTCCCAATAATTCGACCGCCGTTATCGGCACGTATTGCGGCCAGCAACGAAATTTGGTATTATACTCCTCGGAGAACAGTTTGTTCGTGCTATTTTCCACGTTAAAGCGCACGGCGAATACACAAAATCGAGGATTTAAAGGAATCTTCGAGTTCTCAGAGAGTTTCGTCAGCTTGGGTAAGACGTCTTGATCGTGACTCCTCGTTTCTTGTTTATGAAATTTTACAATTTTGTTAATCGTTATTTATTATCTTTCTTAATAATGTAGATTTTATAACGGAATATCAAGGCGAGCATATCCGTGGATCCGAATGCGATCAGAAGATCCTTAGCAAGAAAGAAACATCAGGATTCGTAGTTAGTCCAAATTTTCCATATCCTTATATACCGAAGGTTGTCTGTCGCTATTTTATCTACGGTATGCAAGACTCGCAACATTTAGAGCGCGTGCGACTGGAATTTCTAATGTTTACAATACAGATACCCAAGGGAGAGTAAGTATTAATTATATTTATCAAGTATTTCTAAGGAGGACAGAAAGTTAAAATAATGTCAATTTGATGTTATATTGACCAAATTTACTTCATTTTTTTTTTGTCAATATAACGTCAAATTGACATCATTTTGATTTTTTTGTTCTCCTTGTGTTGCCAGTGTGACAGTACGTAAATGTCATTTTGCATCGCATTCTCTTTTACGCTTTCCCAGGACAACATGTACCGACGGCTATCTAAAATTATATTTAAAAGGTCAAGAAGCGACGGATTCTTATGACAAATTCGATTATGAGATGTGTGGTAATAAGAGCAATCCGAGCCACATAGTGAGCGACGGGCCGAGACTCGTGATGGTGTTCAGTAGCGGAGAACTGCAGGCACAGGGCTTTAAAGCTAAGTAAGTGCACATATAATACAATTATGCAAGACAAGTGTTTTCAAATAAAAAAAAATCGTTTTTTATTTTTTATCTTCTCCTTTAATTACACAGGCTCACAAAAAAAAGAAAAGTTGTCTGTGCCATGGATTAGACCATGATATTCTCATGTATTTTCGCCTGCTGAAACCGAATATGATTTCAGTTTTGCCCCTACACGTCAGGATTTTTTTCTACAGCCAAAAACATCTTACAAAATCGATTAAATCGTAGATCCCACAACTTAACATCAAACTCCGTAGCTCACTCAACTCCAAACAGCCAAACTAAGAATACCATAACCTTTTTGTACTAATCCCGTAACCCTGGAACCCTATACCTGCAAGCCCCATAACCTCATGACCCTATAACACCATAACTGGGATAGAACGAGTGAGTCCCGATTGCGCACATTACAAATCGGACACAACAATATTTTCCGATCGGACACGGTAACGATTGCACACGGTGTCGATTGCACACGGTAACGATTGCACACGGTGTCGATTGCACACGGTAACGATCGGATACGGTAACGATTGCACACGGTGTCGATTGCACACGGTGTCGATCGAACACATGCTTCGTGGCTGCACGCGCAGCGAAATAAAAGTTGTGATTTTTGTTAAAGCAGGGCACACTCACGTGTGTGTGTGTGTGTGCCCTGCTTTAAGCAAATATTTTGTATTTAACTGTGTAAAGCGCGTCACTAACTTATATAGGTTAGTGGCGCGCTTTACTTTATTCAAATAATTTTATAACATGTTAAATAATTTTTGCGATCGACACCGTGTCCGATTGACACCGTGTCCGAACGACACCGTGTGCAATCGTTACCGTGTCCGATCGGGAAATATTGTCGTGTGCGCAATCGGGACAATCTTGATAGAACGAGGGATATATGAACAAAATGATGAGTTTCACTCATTCAAATCAGAAGTCCCAAATTATGTTCACGGAGTACCATCAAATTTATATATATGTGGCTATCCCATATACATTGTACATACCTGGATGTCTAAGGGTGCCGTCTTATACAGGACGGAATTTCGGAAAACGGAATCTCTGAATCATTTTGATTGGTTAGCTCCGTGGGGCTAACGAATCAAAATTATTCCGAGATTCCGTTTTCCGCTACGATTCCCATGGGGCTAACCAATAAGAATGATTCCGAGATTCCGTTTTCCAAAATTCCGTTCTGCATGGGACGGCACTCTAAGAATTCAAACGATATGTTTCTTCTTCTGATAACGGAATCTCTGATTTCGTTATTGGAATTGAAAATCCTGCTGCCTCAGAGGATGTTGGAGATAGTGACAACTGCCTCAATCAAGGATGTGTAGAATGATCCATTTTCCGATCCTCTGAGGTAACGAAGCCGGCGAACGCGTGCTGCCTTGCAAGGGGGGGGCGTTAGGGTGTGAGGATGAAGCCGTAGTGTGTCTGACAACGAGTTGACTTTGTCCTCGTCAAAGTCGGAAAGGCCTCATACTACGACCTAGGGAGGTATGAGGGTTATCACTCCTAGGACGGCGGACTCACTTGCGATCGGAACAGGATCCCTAACGTGCTACACTTCCTTCATTCACATCATGATTACTGCCCAGAAAATCTTGGGGATTACAGCAAAGAGCAAGAAAAACGATTTCATCAAGATATCAAAGAAATGGAACGTCGTTACCAGGGTAGATGGAATATAAATATGATGGCTGACTTCTGTTGGATGTTGAAGAGAGAATGTTGTGAAAGGGAGGAAGCGTAAACAGAATCCACTCCACAAATCATTTGAAGATAAGAGGGTATGAAAACATAAACGATCATGAGTTGTGCTGTCTAAAAGCTTTCCGAAATAGAATATTAGGTGCTCAAGGATTTCAAAGTTATGAATTTATAAAGTTATATTAGGTATGTTATTGTATATCCTTCCTTCTGTCCGCATAACTCCCAGGGTCATGTGATTTTTGGAAGCCTGCTGTCTTGGCTCTTTCCTCCCCCAGGTCAGGTGGTTATTGGGAGTCTGCTAGATTTTCAGGTTTATGGGGTTATAGAGTTATGGAGTTGTAAGTTATGGGGTTATGGGGTTACTATATATACATGTTAAGTCGCTTCGCAATGTCCTTATATTTAACGTTAACTGTAATATAACCTTTGCTACGCAAGACACGACCAATATGAAATTAACTGTAACTGGGTATTATGTATGGTCGCCTCTGGATAGATCCTTTGAATATCCTGTTCGCTAATAACTGTCACCGCTGCTCCGCTGTCAACCTTGAATTCTATTGGTTTCCCGTTAATGTCGAGCGTTGTTATAAATTTATCCCGAAAATTTACGTGTTTCAAGCTCAAAATTTCCTGTAACTGATTGGTAGAGCCCTTAGCAAAGCAAACTGTACGCAGATGCCCCTGCTTCCTACAGTCATGGCAACGAATACCTCTACTGAGCGTGCACTTACAATTAGAAGCTAAATGTGACTTCCCACATCTGAAACACTTTACATTAGTTTTTACATTAGACTTATTACTAGAACTAGACGCATTTGCAGCATACTTCCTGGCCTTTGATTTGAACTGTTTATTATCTATATTTTTCCCTGGGGTTTTCTTCCCTGCCTTTAGCAGATCGATACCTGTCGACGTTGAACTGGCGCCTTTCATCTGCTGCGAACTCTTCTCTGACAGCTCCATTGTAATGGCAATTTTTACCGCTTCGTCGAAGTCCAAGTCCTTCTTTTCCAATAACCGAGCTTGAGTCTTTTTATTTAGAAGATCGAACACGAATTGGTTTTGTAGCGCCGTCTTGAGATAATCTCCGAATTTGCAGTGAATCTTAGCTTATGGAGAGCTGCAACGAACTGCTGCATTTTTTCCTCCTCCCCTTGCTTTCTCTGATAGAAACGGTAATTCTGAGCTATTTCCAGGGGTGCTGGCTCGTAGAATTCCTCGAGTTTCTGGACTAATAACACGTCGTACGATTGCGTGAACAGATCAACTGGGTCCAATCGATTGCACAGTACATCGAATGCCGAGGCCCCTACGTAATGTAATAAATAGGGAACTCTCGCATTATCCTTGATCCCGAAAATCAAGAAAGCGCCTTGTAGACGCTGCACCCATCGTTTCCATGTAGTGGACGATGGATCAAAAACTTCGATCGCAAACGACCCCGGAATTGCTGGTTCTCGCGTGCTGGTTGTAAAGCCATGATTGCTTTGTAATGGCACCGAGACAATTTCACTCTTTAAGGTCGTACGTACTGTGTAGTATTCTGATTTCAAGGTCGTACGTACTGTGTAGTATGTAATTGCGAATATCGTATTTCGCTTATGTCGGCTTTTCAGATAATCCTCGTCGCCAATTTTGTTGTGATTGTACGTAGGCACAACAAAGTAACAATAGTCTCTTGTTCAGGAATAACGCTAGGCCTTTATTCACGAATAAAATATTTTTAACGATCGAGACTGTTTCCGACTTGTTGCGTGTATCTCAATAAGTCTTTTAAGTAATCGTCAACGCTTTCGGCCGCTGAATCCCGTCGCATCGATCTATCGATTTATCGGTGTTCGCACGCATTGCTTCTCGCTATCGATACGCGTGCGAAACTAAACGCCCCCACATAAGAAGTTAATAGTGTAATAGTAATAGTATCCATACAGCACACTAACATTGAATCAACATCTTAAAAACATTGAATTTCAACATTTACAATATTGTAAGCAACTGTAAAAATTAACGGAGCCGACCGGGACTCGAACTCGGGATCCTTTGTTCACACGCCTAGCACTTAGGCTACTACCCCACGACTGCTTTACTACTACGTTAATCTCCCAGATTTCCTATCTATATCGGTCTTACGGTCCTTCATCTATTACAATATTGTATTAACGTTGCGAAATGTAGATTCAACGTAGATTGAATATTGAAAAAACATTGCACAAACGTCTAATGTCCGCTGAATTGCAATGCTTTGTAGATGTCTTGTAGATGATCATTAATATTTAACAGAACGTTTTGAGCTCAAATTGGATTTTATTTTGAAGACCCACGGATGTCGTAATTTTTCTTTGCCGGGGGTCTGCTTATATTCACCCTTAACTGAAATTTACTTACGAGTTGATCTTACTGTTATGCGCCGTTTAGTGGTGTCGTTGCAAATTAGCGCTGAAAGATTAATAATTTGTTCAATGTTGTTTCAATGTTGTATCAACATAAAGAAACAATCTAGAAAAAGCAACATAGGTTTAATGTTGGAAAGATATTTATACTTCAACATTCAATATTGCAACATCTCAGCATGCCGGACGATAATCTAGTGCGATCCGTGAAGCGGTTCGACAGCAAGAATTATCAGGCGTCAAAATTCCAGATCACCACTGTGTTAATGGTGAACGAGATTTTCGACGTAGTCGACGGAACGAGACAAAGACCCGAGAACACGAATGTGGCAGCGATGAAAACGTGGGTAAAGGATAACGCCAAGGCAACGGCGATTATTGCGTCAGCAATGGAAGACGAACAAGTGAATAGTGTGCTTGTCTGTATCACAGCGTTCGAGATGTGGAAGAAGCTGATGACTCTGCACGAGCAAATATCGGCCTCAAATGTGGGCGCGTTAACGCAGCGTTTTTACGCGTATAAAATGCAGACGTCGGACTCAGTGATCCAGCACGTGAGTGCCGTACAGAACATGGCAAGACAGTTGCGGGATCTAGGCGAGCCGATATCGGAGGCAGCGGTAATTGCAAAGATTTTGAGCTTGACGACAAAATTTAATGTCTTCAAGACAGCGTGGGACAGTGTCGATCAAACCGTCAAACGATTGAGAATCTGTTGGAGCGGCTGATACGCGAAGATTCGAATTTCGACAAAGAAGATGATTCGACAAGCGCGCTAGCGGTCACGAAGAAAGCAAATGCCAAGGGCAACGACAAGGACAAAAAAAAAGGAAGTCGACGAAAAACATAGAGTGTTACCGGTGTCAG